GAACTGAATCGACAGCTACCTAAAGGCGGACTACCAAGTTTTCAGCCATGTTTCGATCGGCGTGTGGATAAAACCTGGAGCAATCCCTTAATAGACGAGAAACCGTCTCCAGAAGATCCGTTGTGGGAGAACTGTAAGAACTAGTTGACAAGATACATATCACTACAAGAGCTAGAGAGGAAGCCATGTTTGCATTGCGAAAGGCACTTTTCATTGCCACGATACATGAAACCTATTCCGTTAGAGGCACTTTTCGTGCCATCTTATACCAAGGCTGATTTCTGAACCCCGCGTATATGCACATTTTTGCACGCGTATACGTGGGCCTTGACAGGTACGCATATATACGGGTTTTTAGCAACGCGTATAGACGTGCATTTGATTTTGCACTATACGCGATATAAATGGTTGTATATGGGATAAAAGCCCATACATAGCGATTATAAACGATTATACGCGGCAAAAAAGCCCACGTACACGATGTCATAATTTTGAAACGGATGGCCAACCATACTTTTGAACCAATGAATGCGAAGATTATCTTCAGAGATCAGACGCATCGACGACATATTCCCAGATACGGAAGTGTTATGAACGTCAGTGTGGAATTTACTGTGTTCGCTGTCTTTATCGGCCCTTTATCCCTTTCAGTGCTAAATTTTCGACTTTTTGTAGTTTGGGACAAACCTAAAATCGTCGGCTAAGTTTATTCTTCCAGCAAGCGTCCCATCAACAGCATCAATAACTTTATCGTGTTCTCTGTACAGTTGATTTTCGGCATTGCATTGAAATGCATGCGTGGCTTGTCAAGGTAAGAACCGAAGTTAATGCATTTCTTTTTCATGTGAAATCTAAGTATACTGTGTCTTCTTACAGCTTCTTATTGTGTGCAAGTATCATATCAGGACCCCTGAGGCTAAACTTCAAAATACTTCGACACCTACATGTACTTGCGTCGCATACTTGAACAACGTAAAAGTGCCTGTTGTGTTGTGCCTCTTTGTTTAAAACGCTTTGACAAGTAGTGGGGTATGAAGCAACGATCTAGTAGTCAAAGAAGGGAAATTTTGTGACTCCTTGATTCGATGTGGTTTCTCGTGCAAGAGTTGACAAACGTCGGTAAGAGATGGGGTGGGCGGGGGGAGGAATGATCTAAGGCTCACGAGTATACGAGTATATGAAGGACGTTCTATTCTCTATCGCTACGCTCAGCCGAATAGAAAATATTTCTGTTATAAGTATAAAGAGACAAAACAACAGACTGAGAAACGGAGGGAGCCGCCAACAATCGAGTTAATAACACCAGTGATAGTTACAGCAAAAACAAGGAATATAAGCATGCTTAAATACAGATACAGAGGACTAAGAAAGACTAGATTAAGGAAACATCATAAGTGCTAACAAGATATGCTGAACAAAGAATTAACAAACTAAAACAGAGTCAGATCGTTTTAACAAAGCAATGCGAAAATACGAGAACAAATTAAACGTAGGTAAAACCTAAAAAATTCATACATAAGAAAACGAAAAAAGCAGCCACCAGTAAACTGGTGGGCGTCAAGTGGTGTGAAATTCACAAGGAGTGGTTTATAAAGGATCTAATGGTCCCAATGGAAACTGAACTAAACAATGTAATCAACAACTAAAAGAAATACATTGTGTGGGAGGAAGGAACAGCCTACCCACATTTGATATATTAAAATTCTAATGTGACTCTAAGGCTTTCTGGTCTGTTTTCTGTATTTGGTTTGGTTTTCTTTGTGCTCATGTCTCTTCTGCGAATTGCGATACAATAGAGTGGTGAAAAATTTGGGATTTTGACACCAAAGCCTTGAAGTCTCTAGCCTGTACCACAGATGAAAAGTCCGTCTGCGAAACAGCGCTGAAATCCTCGTTCTAGGCTTCCACCTCTGTACCAGGATTCAAGACAGTATGAGCTATGATTGGTCTGTTATAAATGCCATCGTCGATTTGCTAATCAAGATGAAAGGAAATTCGGTAATTCGTTGAGTTCGTTAAGGGCCAGCATGAACACGTCGGTGCTGCTTCGCAGACATTACTAACAGAGGTTAAATTAGGTCTGCGACACAGGCTGCTTTAAGTCATGTTAGAATTTTGGTATATTGAACATGGACTACTTGCAAATCTGAGGTCAAATCTGTCACATAACATCCAATCAGAATTTTTAAGTTCCTTTAGGGAAAATCACAATGTATGACTTATTGATTTAGACTTGATGAAACATGAGCTGCACGTTTATCAACTTAATTCTGGACATTGTGATCTAAAACATGTACTTAAGGTAAAATTCCATATGTGTGAAGCCCAAAGCCTGCCAAAACACTAGGGTTTCCCTGTAGTACTTTCTGTAAAATTCAGTCTGACTCCTGATCTGCAATCAAAAACTTCCTCAAAAATTAAATTCACAGGCATATTTATGGATGGTTAATGCTCCTACTGAAGTTAGATTTTACACTTGCAGCTAGTATTTAACTATTTTTCTTGTGGTCATGCAACTGTGTTACTTATTATTATTTATAGTTGCTTTGGAGTTGTTTTTTTTGCTTAATTTTTTAAAATTTAATTTAATTTGCCAGTTTGTGTGAAGCCATTTCAACTTGCTGTCATGCAAGTAACAAAGCGAAGGAGAGATGAGGCTGAAGACTCAGATGAAGAAGGTAATTTCTATGGTTAGAAAATAAGCCCTCCTGGCCTATACATGAAGCTAAAAGTGAAAATTTAATCATTCACTGTACGAATATGTAAGATTATTGCAACCTTGGTCATAATTTCTGGGACGTTGGACACTAGTGAAAACATTCATCTGGCTGAATAAATCCATTCCTCCTCACAAAGTTTGGAAGAGCCCACTCATTTTTAAGCAAGTGAGTGATTAGTCCTTTAAAAAAAAATTTTACATGTGGACCAACCTTAAGAGAACCTTTTGTTAGGGGCTATTTACGTGAAGGCAGAAAGATTTTAGAACCAGACAGATCTTAGAAGGGTGAACAATTTGTCATTTGGTTAATACATGCAAGGTTGTGGTCAAATTAACTGTTAACTGCCTTTCAACAGAGACTCTCTTTGGCTAAATCTGGCTGGGTTTCTTTTTCTCATTTTACTGCAAGGCTGGAAAACATAAAGCCCATCTTCCTCCAAGAAGCTGGGACTATTGTAATTTCTGTGCAAGACTAAGCATGCATTTGTCGTAGCAAAATTACCTTATAACCATAATAAAGATGAAATGTTTTGAATTTATGTGAGTTTCTGACATTTTATTTGAATGTTTATGTTATAGTAATAACGACAGATTCATGTTTGTATTTCCCATAAACGATTAAAAATATTCATTACTATTAGAACTCAATTTACATGTAAGGCAATTATGAATGGACAGAAATAGCAAGGAAATTAATCTGGTTAAACTCAATTCAAGAATTTCTGTAGACGTTTAACTCTGCTTGAGGCTGCCAAACCAACCTTAAGTACCACAGTGCATGTGTAATTTAGTAGTCGCTAACTTGAAGAACGATTTTGTTCTGCAAGCACATTGTTGTTTATGTATCGTTATTTGCTCCATTGTCACTTGTTGCGATGTTCCATTACATACATTTTCCACAGATAACGCACAGCAAACATATTGGCAATAGAAAACAAACGTGTTGAAAACACAAGGTACACTGAGTGATACAAACTATTAAATAATTTAAATTTTCTCTTTGGAAAATAATAATTATTTTCCAACGAGAAAATTTAAATTCATAGCACATGAGGTTAAACGTTTATGCTTCGCACCATAGGTACCTGTCATTGCCCTTTTCTTCCTACAGACTCTTGATTGCCAGTAAGCTCATGTCCTCCCGGAGGACTATTTTTTCTCTCTTGCAATGATGTAACTTCTCTCAATGTTCATTTAGTTATAGAGACTCAATCATCATCAAGAAAGTGAAAAAATTTTAACAAGGAAATCTAGTTTTGTATAGAATAAAATAATTGCCTCCTCCCTTCTTATCTATCTCAGACCAAGCAAGCGAGACTTTGATGCTTTTAGAGCGTTCTTGGTTCGTTAGAGTTGTTACCATCATTTGAATCGGGCTTTTTTTTCTAAGTCCATGGTTTACGCAAGCGTGGATGAATCATAGCTAAGTTTACTTCCATGTATACATACTGCTAAGACAGAACAGTTGGCTGTGGTCTGTCTCAAAATGGGTTAGGATTTTTCCCTTTCTCCGTAAGTTCAAGAACATTTAAACTTCTAGAGTTCTTGAATCTCCCAAAAAAAGTAGGTGGAGGGGTTGGAGGGAGAGAGAGAAAAGAAAAAGAATATGCGGCATGTGTGAACACGTGGTATTTGTGTACTTTTCATGTACAAATTATTGGACCTCACTATGCCTTAAAAGTGCCAAAATTGCAAGAAACTAATGAAAGCCAATTTAAGAAATTCTTTTGCTGATTTTATTCATTGAAATATTTCAGAGGAAAGCTATTAGGGAGTTCAAGCAAAGACTTTTTTGAGTAATACCTTTCAACTTGACGTGAGGCCATTAATTTTTCTTTTAACATGCCTAATGAAGCTACCAAATTAAAGTGTATTGCTAAGTGTCTTTTCTCCTATTGAGACGGTTTGCCGCAAAGTATTTTGGGCATAACAACTGCCCAAGATGCAATTATGTTCACTTTCGTTCCCCATCGTGTTGGATGGGAAACGTTACTTAAGCAGAACATGAGGTACTAACGAGACTGCACTGCCCTCTGCAAAATTAATCAACAAGTTAAATAAGTGAGAACTATGGATTAAGCAAATACTGTTATTAAAATCTTACTAATTCTCTTATCATAAAAAACTAGTTGATGTCAATTTCAGAGGATTATTTTAAATTAATCACTGCAATAGGATCCAGAAACTTATTAATATCCATGACCACTACACCCCTACCAAACAATGGAAAATGTGATTGTAAGTACTCATTTTTTTCCCTTGTTTTCTTTTTTTCTCAGGTTGGAATGTTTTTCCATCTTTACAAAATTTACAACGTGATGCAGAACAGGTTAGCAAGAAAACCAACCTACCATCTGATCTGAGAACGATCGCTGCCAACAAAGGATTCTTTGTTTCTGATAACCAAGCATCCGGGAACTGTTTATTCCATGCATTATCAGAACAATTACAAAGTGTCAAAGGAATTCAAATCTCACACAAAGAGCTAAGAAAAACCTTGGTTCAGTTCCTCGATGAGAACCCTAATCTGGTAAGTTGATGACTAGCCTAACTAACGGGCCTTCCATGTCTTCCCATATGATAATCGTTTAATAATAATAATATTAAATTAATCAGTAATAATCATAATCAATTTTATAATCATTTCCCTTCACCCAGTTTGACGATTCTTTGGTAAACTAAATTGGATAAAAGCCGGGATTGAACATAACAAAAAAGAACTTAAGTATTATGGGATCAAGACTAGGCTCTCTCGATCTTCTTTGAAATCACCCACCTCTTCATATTTAGTCTGAAATACTTAAGTTTTGAAAGCGAAACTTGGAGGGTAATAACAACAAAAAACAACCACTTTAGGTCACTTGTCTTGGTGGCATCACACAAATTATACATCATGACTTGAAATAGTCGCCTTCTGTCGCCACCTAAGGTTACAGGTGGCCTTAACAGTAGCCTGAGTATCAGGCGTTTCTGGGGAAAAGGGGAAAAATGGAAGCGAAAAAGGAAGAGAGGTGAAGGAAAGAAACGCCTGACACAGATGCTTTTACTGGAGCCTTCCACCCTCACACAGCATGATTCGATACCATCCAATCAAAATCACTTCCGGTCATTGGGTTGTCAGCTTCACGTGTCAAAGAGCTCGCCTAAAATAAATCTCACTTAACGGTCGAGCCGAGCTCCGGTGCTTGTGTTTCTACGATTTCGCTTTTTTCTGAAACCTCCAATGAGGAGTTTTCGAATACTTGTAATGTAAAACCTGCCGTTTATGAGGAATTATAACAGGGTTTAGGGAACGCGTCCAAATATCGGTAGGGAACCCGATCATGGGAAACGGACCCGATTAATTTTCCGATTGATCGGAATCGGTACCGATCTATAGGCACCAGTTGCCGTTTCCGATTACGATAAAAACTTTGCCGATTCAATCGGAGCCGGTTGACATTCCGATGTTCATATGTGTCATCGTCATATTATTTTATCTGATATGTAAAATGAAGCGTGTCACGAAACCAAATAATGAAAGAGTCGTTTCACTTCAAAGTAATTTCAATCGACTGTACCTTTTTCCTACTCCATAACAAATAGCAATATTGTATGTTTCTGCATGTTGTGTTTCGAGTTTGTTGATTTGATGCGTGCCTATACACGTGATTTTCGGCGTTTTGCAGAGGTATTTCCTTCAGTCGATCGCAAACACCACGCTGCTCCATAACATTTATTCTATGAAAATTAAAAGGAGTTAAATATTACGACGCAAAACACCACTGTTCTTCGTTGATATATAGCAAACAAAACACCATACTGAGTAGTGTGTTCTTTACTCGATACTAATTTCTAACAATGCAATCCAAAAACACAACCGGAACTCACTTTCTCGAAACACAGCTGGATTCATAGACTTGTTACAAGTAGACCTCAACGGGTTTCCTAGCGAGCGGAGCGAGAGCAAAACCATGGATAATGTAAAACCACGGGATAAACTTTTACGAAAATTTGCGTCTTTCATTCAACGATCCTAAACGCAAGGTGTAATGCGATCTGAGGCAAAAAATACCGACTAATTAGATTGGGGCCTCAGATTGTCTCCAGGGAATTGGCAACAGGAACTGAAAGATTCCCACACTCGCGAGTCACGGAAGACACGAAACGGAGTTTCATACAGGAGCTACCAAAGAGAGAATGGCTTAGCGACTTTGCTGTATGTTCTGTGAGCTTGAGCATGGTGCCACGTAAAATTGCTTTCCACTTTCAGCACTTAGAAAAAATTGCGCTTGACTCTAGGTGGCTGACTGTTTGACAAAAATCAGAACCTATTTTACCGGAGTGTTCAACTAAAGTAAACTGGCATACATCCGGTAAGTTCGACTCAATTTAATAGCGGAAAGACAATCGAGAAAGAGAAAACCAGTTGAACGCCTCCATCAGTCACTTTTTTGAGTTCATATGCAACCAATAAACAACTTGCAGCTTGATTCTCAGACGATGTCCTCTTCTCTCCTGTGGCAATTTAGCAGTTAAAGTACACAACATGGTAACAACATTTGCATTTTGGTCGTGGATGTTCTGACTTCTATTTTTTTCGTTTACAGTCCTAAACTGTTTATTCCTCCAAAGATTCCTATAATCATGCGTTTTGGCTTCCGGTTAGCAAAGGCTCAAGCTATTTTAAAATTATCATTTTTTAAAATTATCACATCGCACACTTGCAATGTACATTGCGCCGTCTTTCACTCAAAAGATGCCTGTTGTTTCTTCTCGTGCCCATTTTGATACACAAATTTAATATTTTCTGTTCATACTCTGTCATAGGAAATACAAACAAATGTTCGAAACCGTGACGTTAAATTTCGGTTCAAACAAGACACATTTATAAGAAAGATAAGGCTATAAAAAACAACATTCACACTTTTGCTTTTGTGACGGGTTATTTGAGCTGCCAGATATTTTTGATGACCTTTGTTAATTGGCCCGATAAAGACTTGAGACCCGTTGCCGATTCCCTTTCATTCGGTGCAGATAAAATCGGGTCCGACCTTCAACGGAATCAGAAAAAATCGGTGCCCAATTGATCGGCATCGGTATGACCCGATGCCGATATTTGGACGCGTTCCCTTAGGAATTGTGCTAGTGTAAGATCGCCAACGCTCTGTTTGTAAACAAACGTGTGCCCGGAAAATTGTAAATTGCTTTTGTTTACAGAGTTAAATCAGGCGCTTGTCTGGCAGCTAAAAAGCTGGTGTTATCCCTCGTATTCTCGGGTGGTTGAAAGGAGCTGTAAGAATATATAGGAAGTTCGATAGTGACACACCTATGCCTAGAAATTATCAAGCGGCAGCAGATTCCACCACTTCACAGAGAGCTCGTGAAAGCTGTTACAAGTTCAAAACAAGTGAGAGCCTACAGCAAAGGTCAATCCCGTTGGCGAAATATGATGGCGCCCGCTTGAGCTTAAGACATTTCAAAAGTGAGAAGATTTTGGAAGAGGAAGCGAACGAATTCCAATCACGTACGTTATCGTAACCGCAACAAGCAAAGTCAAGCTTTTTAAAAGCATTGGTGCTGTCGGCTATCCCCGCGGCTATCTCATACATGGCTACCTCGCTCTATTTTCATTTACAGTAACAATACCCTTTTAACGGCAGGATGTTGTAAATCTGAACTTAGATATCTGAAACAGTGATATCGTCTTCTTTGTCCCGGTCTTGTGAAACCAATACTTGGACATAGTTTCGGCCGAAGATGGTATGAGGCTTTTCCTTACTTCGAGTACATGTTTCCTTTAAACTACGAGGCCTTGAAAACACAATTCTTGCTCGGGTTTTATTTTTATTCCAGAAAAGAACTTGAGAGCGCCCTCTAGAGCCTTTTTGAATTCCTCTCTGCGTCTCTGTCTGTAAAGGCATCACATACCGGTAACATGAAATCAAAACATCTATGAAAAATTTCAATGACCGTCTCCTTGCCGATCGCTCTTGCGGTCGGTGACGTCAGGGGGTATTGTGTGTTATCCAATCACTGCCACATCCAGATTTTGGATGTGTCACACGATTTGCTGAATGGTTTCGTGTCAGGCCTTCCTTTCTCTTCTCCCCCTCCCCCCTCCCCCATCTAAAATCTCCTCTCCCCTAGCCCCATAGGAAGGCCTGATACTCAGGCTACCTTAACAGTAAGTTAACAGTATCATTTCCCTCCTAAAACCACTTCCAAAATTTGGAGAGAATCAAAATAATTCATTTACAGGGCTGCCTCAAGGCGGGCCCAGTTTATAAAATACCTTTCATTTTCTCCCCAGGGGGTATTTTTAGGAAGTTGTAGTGGGGGTGTGCTGTCCAACTCTCCAAATCTTGGCACTATTTTAGAGCAATAGTTGTAAGGGAATACCCCCCAGGATTTTCTACGTCGAAAAATGTAGACTATCAATTATTAACTTAGTAATAGCAAAGCACATTAAGTGAAGGCAGCCACATCCTCGGAGACCCAGGGGCAGCTAGTCAGGACAATAGAATGTCCGTGGTGAAAGTTTACTATAAGATCGAGAGGAGCCCCTGGGCACTTACTCTTACTGAACCAAATCCAGAAGCATTTAAACTGCCTGCTTCTGATTGGCAAGAAAAAAACGTCCTGGCCAATCAGCGAAGAGGAGCATCCGGGTGGCTGTAGTGTTTTCATACATGTGTAGGTTTCCTCATTGATCACCACTGTTGTGTAGTGCATTAAACTGGGAAAGTTTCTGGAGGGAAGTTCCAGTAAAAAGCTGTTAACAAAGCTGGAAAAGTTTCAGAAGTTGTGCAAACTTAACAAACATGGAGATCTAAAATGTAAGCTTGGAGTTGTATACCAGGCAATGTCTGCAAAGGTGTGGAAAGTGAAAGTCATGCATCGTGTATCAGCAATAAAAATTTATCGTACCTTTGACAGATCCACCTTAAAAATTCATCGGAGATTGTTGTTTCTTGTAGCCGTACTAAAGCTTGCAATTTTTCCAGCTTCTCAAACATAATATTTTTGTTGTGAAGCTTTCCTCAATAAACTTTCCCCTTTGAGCACCGTACCCAACTATGGTGATTGATGAGGGAAACTACATCATGTAACAAAACACCAGAGACACCCAGCTGCTCTTCTTCACTGATTGGCCAGAAAAATTTTTTCCTGTCCAGTCAGGAGCAGGCAATTCAAATGCTTCTGGAACTGGTTTGGTAAGAGTAAGTGCCCAGGGGTCTTCTCGATCTTATATAGTAAATTTTCACCACAAACATTCTAGCCTGCATAGCAAGTATTTCTGCGTGAGTTCGCCGAGAAAGTTGGGACGAGAGCAAAAAAAGAAATGACAGGGGAGGGGGAGGGGAGAGAAGGAAATGCTTCTCAGCAAACCCCAGGATTTTGAAAAACAGCATTCTCCCACGAACGCAGCTTCTGATTGGTGCGGTGCTCTTAGTCTTGATTAAATAGCAATCAATACATCAATCAAACCATGTACGTTAAAGCAACGAAGAGAGATGAAAGTGCCACCGAAACTGTCACAGACTTAGAGGCGCTTGAATTTTAATTTCCTTTGTTAGTTTTAAGAACGAGAATTGAGAAACGTACTGCTTAGTAATGTTATACTCTCATGCCATATTTTGGGGGGCAGAGGGATTGAGGGAGGGGTGCTAATCCGTTCCTGCTTAGAGTGGCTAACTTGCTTATTTTTATTGTTAATGGTCTATATGGCCGCAACACTGAAAAAATGGTACTCATTTTTCTTGTTACAAAAGTCTACCAAAAGGGTACAGTGTTCAAATGAGTTTATGTTTCACTCGCATATGAGATTCTATGTCACGCAATGGTCAGTGACAAGGTTTTATGGTAGCCTGAGTGTGTGCCCCCCCGCCCCCCCCTCCCTAGAAAAGGTCACTCCTTGGCAGCCCAGTTAAAAATTGCCTTTTGGCGATTCTTGTTTTATTTGAAATTCGCCTCCCAGCAAACCCTTGTGCCTTCAAGAAATTAGCAATTAATGAATGAGGCTGAGTATTATATGAAGAATAAAGCAGATCGAGGAGGGTTTTATCCACCGAGGCTGAAGGCTGAGATCACCCTCCGAGTTGTCTTCTTGCTGTTTTTGCCATGTTTTTAGCTATTATTTCGTCTAGTTCCAGCTGTAGTTCTTACTCTTGAAACGAGTGAAATGTCTGCCTTTTTTTCACAACCAAAACAACTCAACCTCATCCCCAGGTCTTGTCAGTTAACGGTGCATTAACCTGCAGCGGGCAGCATTTTTGACATCATTTCCTCGTTAAACACAAAATTCTTCCAAATTTGGTCATCAGTAACTGGTTATAGTGAATTATGCGTGTGCTTTTAGCCAATCAGGATTGGGAAAATATTTTGAATAAATAATACCGGTAAGTGGTTTTAAAGGCTACCCTAGCCAACCACTCACTTTTAAATAAACTTTCTAGCAGATTAAAATCACTTTACATGTATGCCGCCTAGTCAGAAATGAAATTCACTAGCTTCCTTGGTTTTGTTTTTAGCACGAAGGAACATCTTTGTTTAACTTTGTCTCTGGATACCCATCTTGGCGTGAATACTTACAAAGCATGGCAAAAGACGGTACTTGGGGTGATCATGTGGTTTTGTTTGCTGCAGCAAATCACTTTCAAACTTCCATCCGTATTATCAGCAGTCTCGACCATGAGATAGTTGTCCAGCCAGATCATGCACTTGCCAATACCAACCCCCTTGTGTTGGGACACATTCACGAGTTACACTATGTCAGCCTTCAGCCCAGACAAGGTAAAACATTCTTTCCAATGACAAACATCCTTTTTTTCTTTTTTTGGACTTGTGGAATTATGTTTGCAGAATTTATATACATATACAGTAGCAGAGGACATTGCAAGATAATGATGATACTATAAATGTCTCTATGAGAATAAAGTTTACTTTTTTTCTAAACAATAAGTTTTCCCTGCTGAATCTGAATATACTAGTTGTATAATTATAAGATGTTATTCCATTGGATATTGTAAACTCCTACTAATTAATTTTACCTCTACTGTAATAAAAAATTGCAGAGATACTAGAGAACTCTTGCACTAGCCTGATTCCTTTATGGTCTGGAGGTCACTCGCTCAAACGCCATTAGCTCGTTAGCTAAAATATTATGTTCCTGACTATTGTACAATGAATAATTAGAACATTAGTGTTGTTATTTCTGAATAATTTATATAACTGATCACTCTGAAGAATAACAGTAGTTTATTGTGTAAATAAATGATGCAATTTTGACCCAAACGTCTTGAAGTCTAGCCTGCGCCACAGACAAAACTAAACTCCGGTTCAGTCCATCTGCGAAACAGCGCTGAATTCCTTGTTCCTGACCCCCAGCTGTGTACGTACCAGGATTTGAGTACGAGCCATGATTGGCTTGTTAAAAATGCCATTGTTGATTTGCCAAATAAGATGAAAGGAATTTCGAAAACGTTCTTCCGGTAATTCATTGAGTCCCTTGGGAGCCAGAGTAAGGATATTGGTGCTGCTTCACAGACATTACTAACTGAAGTTAAATTAGGTTTGTGATGCAGGCTGCTTGAAGTAATTTTAGTATATCGAACATGCATGGGCTTTTCACAAATCTGAGCTAAAGTCTGTTGCATAACATGATTATTAAGCTCGATTACCAGCGGCTGTTCTGGAAAATGAGCCCACACTCACCCAGTCCAAGAATCGTCGTGAAATCCAAAAAAAATATTTTGGAAATCGAGAAAAAAGTTTTTTCCCGTGCTACTTGTGCCAGCAGTCAGCCAGCGTCATGCCAACGTTTTCCCGCCATTTCCCACATCCAAACTGGCGAAAGAAAGAGGTTAGAAATATCGAGTACGATGTTCTGTCATAAATGTGGAAGAGAATTTGAGAGCAATGAAACATTCTGAAAACTTTTTTTTGGATTTCCAAAATATTTTTTTTGGATTTCACGATGATTCTTGGACTGTAAACTGTTTTAGAGTTTTATAAAAAGTTATTAGCGGGTCCAATAAGTTTCTTAAGATTTGCAATGTTTTTTTAGATTTGCCAGACTCTTCAATAATGATTTGTACAAAAATGGCAATTTGAAATAATTTTTATGGATTTGCAAAATAATTTCGGATTATTGAGAAAGTTATTTGTGAATCCACTAATTTTCATAGGATTTGCAATAGTTTTTTAGATTTGTCAAACTTCTCGACAGTGATTTTGAAAAAAATATTTCGATTTGAAATATTTTGTGGGATTTGCAAAATATTTTTGGATTGTCCCTTTTCGGCTTCGGTATTTTTTCTTATGGTTGTGACAAATGTATTACTGATCATAATTACTTTGCTTCCAGTTTGTGTGAAGTCAAATCAGCCTACTGTCATGCAAGCAATAAAGAGAAAGAGAGATGTGGCTGAAGACTCAGATGAAGAAGGTAATGTTTGTTGTTAGAAAATAAGTTCACTTATAGTTGAGAGTGGAAATGTGATCTCTGATTGTAAGGCTGAGAAAGAAGACCAACTTTCATCATACCGTCTTTTTTGGGGTTGTGGAGGATGGGGGGGGGGGTGGTGTTTGAACTTGGAAGACCCTGACGGGGGGGGCAAATTTTGTTTGGGTAATACATACTTGACTGGGGGGTGGTTTACTTGTAACTGCCTTTCAATATGGGCATGTTTTAACTGAACCACTCACACAACACATTGTTATTATAATATTATTATTAACTCATTTTTAATTATTTTTTCCTCCTCTGATTAGAATCCAAAATTTTAAAATCTTCAGAGGATAGACCTAACAGTTCAGAGGGCAGTGATGGCAACACTCACCAGATTACTGCTGGTCTCCTGTCTAGTTCATCAAAGAATATTGCAAGCAACACAAAGAACCAAAGAACCACATCGAAAAGAAAGAGAAAGAAGAAAAGAAAAAGAGAAAGAAAAGAAAAGACTCTAAAAGAGTGCATTAGTCACCCTCCAGAGCTCAACAAAGTTCTCCCATCCTTGGCTGACATTAAGGCAATAACCAGACCTTCAAAACATGCTGATCTTCCTGTTGATGTCTTGTTACTGACAGTGAAGAATTGTGAATTTTTAGCTTGTTACAGTGAGCTAAAAAAACCCTACAGATGTTGGTTTGATGGTCTTGGCTACGTTTACTTTTCTGATGTGGATGGAAGTCAAGATAAAGTTAAAGTTGCATTATTTAAATGTTATGAGAAGAGTAGTTGTCCTGGTGGTTCTCTCGTCTCTGTTAAGAATGCTGCCACTCTGCTTAGGCCTAAAGCAGTCATATCTGTTGGTGCATGTAGTGGTCTTCACCCTGAAAAATCTAACTTAGGAGATGTTGTTGTTTCTGCCAAGTTAACAACATACGCTTCCAAAGAGGTGATCAATAATCAAGAACAGTCAACTGGCATGAGGAGTTATGTGAGCAAATGCTTCCTGGATGTCATTAAGAATTGTGCTGATGGCTGGAAAGCACCATTGAAGAACCTGGCTGATGCTCAACAAGTTCAAGTTTATACTTCTGCTGAGTTTCTGAGTGGACCAGAACAAGTCATTTCGGAACAGCGACATGATCAACTTGCTGAAACAAATCCTCAGGCAATAGCAATGGAAAATGAAGGAGAAGGTGAGTACCTTGACTGATTTTTTGCAGCCAGTCTTTATTAGAAGGTGCACACAGCCAGGTCAAGCTTTGCTTGAGGTGGAGAGAGACACAGTCGCATGCATCATACTTGTACTAGGAAAGCAAAAATTTTGTTTCCTTTAAAGCATCAAAAGGTCGGGAGTTTGGCACTTAAAATCATGTCTGTCAGTTCATTGGGAAATCCTTTCGTTTTTGCTAGAGAAATAATTGTCATATTGCCTAAAACATTATGCGGCTAAATCAAATTGAGGCTAAGTTTAACTCTAGACATTGCTGACTAGTTAAGTTGGTCTTTCAAATGAGAAGGCTCCTCAGGGACCGTGGGGAATTCAGAGCTTCTCTGTTGAGGTCATACCATTGCATTCACATAGCTTATTAACGTTGCTTGTACTCGTCAATTGTTCTGCTCCTTACCCTGCCTTCCCTTTGGTAAGCACAGTGGAACCCCATTAATACTATCACTAATGGGTCAAAACAACTTGGCTACGTCAACGGGGTGGCTGTATTGCAAGGCCAGGGTCAAACTTCATGACTTGAGGACTGTAATGACAAGCACATCGTACATCGCTGTCGCACTTCTTGTACAACTCTGTTCTCTTAAATAAATAACAGGAATGTAGATATCACATACCGTAGTTGTAAAAACTACTTGAAACTCTGTCAGGACATAAAACAGCTTTTAAAAATCAGCTATTAGACCACCAAAAAATACAATGTAAGTGACTATAGTTTAAAAACAGTAGAAAAACAAGCTCAGCTTAATTACTAGGTCAATTAAATTGACATGTCACAGGCATTTCAATTTTCAAAATTTCTGACAATTTGCCGTTTTAGAGGGGTGAAATATTTTATTGTAAGAGATGTCACTGTTTGGGATTTTAAAATATGGCCATTGGCCACATCAACGGGTGACTGTGTTAACAATGTTTTTTCATTAGAAAATGTATGGCCATTTTGCCAGGCCAAAAATAACAAGGTGACTGTATTACTAAGCTGGCCATAAGGCGGGGTTCCACTTAATAAAATCTCCACTGGTTAGCTGTGAGATGGTGCCTGAATTATTGCCACTCCAAGGGTTGTCATGGTTATAAGCAGCTGCACTCGACTGCAGTTTCCTGGCTCTACAAGCCTTGCAAGCACCTCCACCCACACTCATCTTTGTTGATAAATTTAAATTACACTACAATGAAACTTATACAAAAATGGCTGCCAACATCTCCCACTGTCTGGTCAAGTTTCTTATTTTGCTGATGAAGACACTTAAATGAAACAGGACTTCTCTCAAAACTCATGTAAAGTTTGTTTTGTTGTTCTACAGGCGTATTTACAGCAGCATTTGATTGTCAAATTGAGTGGTTAATTGTGAAAGGAATAGCTGACTATGCAGATGGTTCTCAGTTAGCTTCAGAGAGTTGGTCTTCCTGTGCCAGTGTGATGGCAGCATCTCTTGTTGCACACATGTTGAATGAACCCTGTGTTTTCCATTCATGGCCTCATTATCAAGGTAATCATGCAATCATAAAGTGCTGCCACATCTTGGCATCTCATTTATTGAATCCACTGCTGGGTTCGTTCCATAGTGCAGTCACAGATAAGCTACTTGGTACATGCTCTGGGGTGCATGCCATCCCAAATTCAGCTATCCAACACTCACCACTTGTTCAAGTTGTTTAGTTGAGATTCAAATAGTATAGTGAATGTGATACATTTCTGTAAAATAACAAGAAGCATTAGAAGTGTGCATCTTTTTATTTAGGAACCAGTACAATTTGAGATAATTTGCAATATTTAGAAGCTATCATGATAGTCCGCATTACACCGTAAATCGTCTATTTAGCCCCCCTCTTCTCAAATAACCCCCTCCCTCTTATACCCCCCTCCCCTCCCCTAATTATTCTTAACTAATAATTGATAGACTGTATTAATCAATGACGACTGTGAAACTTCGTGAGGAATGATCCAGGATGGTTTCATACTAGCCTGAGTATCAGGCGTTTCTGGGGGAAAAGGGAAAAGATGGAAGCGAAAAAGGGAGAGAGCTAAAGGAGAAAAACGCCTGACACAGATGCTTTTACTGGAGCCTTCCACCCCCACACAGCATGATTGGATACCAACCAATCAAAATCACATCCGGTCATTGGGTTGTCAGCTTCACGTGTCAAAAAGCTCGCCTAAAATAAATCTCACCTTACGGTCTGGCCGAGCTCTGGTGCCTGTGTTGCTACGATTTCGCTTTTTCTGAAACCTCCAATGAGGAGTTTTCGAATACTTGTAATGGAAAACGTGCAGTTTTTGAAAATGTTTTATAACTTGTTTTAGGAATTGTGCTAATGTAAGATCGCCAACGCTCTGTTTGTAAATAAACGTGTGCCCGGAAAACTGTAAACTGCTTTTGTTTACAGAGTTACAACAGCGGCGCTCATTAATAAGCAGGTTCCTGAGAATCTGACAGCTAAAAAGCTGCTGTAGATCAGGCCGAAAATCGTCCGAGGGAAAATCTAAAGTCAAGCTAAAGCCTTGGTGCTGTTGGCTATTCTCAATACATGGCTACCTCGCTCTAATTTTATTTACAGTAACGATACCCTTTTAGCGGCGGGATGTTGTAAATCAATAGATTCTGGATGCGTCACACGATTTGCTGAATGGTTTTGTGTCAGGCCTTCCTTTCTCTTCTCCCCCTCCCCCCCCCCCCCTCAAAAATCTCCTCTCCCCCATCCCCTTAGGAAGGCCTGATACTCAGGCTAGTTTCATACCAACTGGAAGTTTGGATTTGATTCTGATCCTCCGTGCATGACCTTAAACTTTCTAGTACCTGAGCTTTTCCGCTTTGTTTTGTGGTTCTCTATGGAGAGCTGATACCATCGTCTTTTCTAAATTAAATGAGCCCCCCATCTCAAATAAGGAGGATTTACGGTAATGATATTTTGACATTTGACATGCATATTTTAGACAGTGGTGAAAATATTATTATTATTATCGTTTTATTCGTCATCAGTGGATCAATAAAATATCAATTTTGTTATCAAACTAATGAATGTTTTTCCTTCAGGACCGCAACCACAAGGGTTAATCACCCACTATGATGAGAATCACACTACACCACCATCTACCGCTTCATTCAGCCTCGAACCCCCGTCAAAACCGCAACGGCAAAAATACAATGACAATCCAACGAAAAAGCAACCATCAACCGCTTCATCCAGCAACGCTTCACTTGATTCTTCAATCAACCGCACTCAAACAAACGGAGAAACCTTAGTCGCTCCTTTCATCGAACGTATGAAGAAACATGTCCGAGATGTCACTGACAAACCTTACGGAGACCTCAAATCACCTTTTTATAATCCAGGCGAAGGACCTAGAAGAGATCTAAAGCTTGACGAAATCTTCACTAATTTGATTATTTATGAAGGGAGAGCTAAGTATGACTTTTCAGGAGACAGAATCGAACAGCTAAACGAGTACCACAAAGCCAATGAAAATTTACGACCAACACTGCCAGGAGATATTTTTGATGATTTAGAGAGACAGATTCTTGTTGTTGGTCGTCCTGGAATTGGAAAAACCATGTTTAGCATAAAGATTCTTCGCAACTGGGCCTGTGATAACTTATTGAACGGATCACAAAGATTACAAATAGAGAGACAAACAGATTTTGAAGCTTTTCCTTTTCTGAATAATGATATCCAGGACTTCTATAACGAAATGCAAATATCGCAAAAGGATTTTAAAGTTGCCTTTCTCATCAAGCTGAGGACATTTAACTCTACCAACCAAAAACTAAGTCTTCGCGAGCTTCTGGATCACTCAGAATATTCAGCAGCTCTTCCCAAAGAGGTCTGGAACTACATTCGTCACAACCCAGAGCGAGTACTGTTGATTTTTGATGGATTTGACGAATATACTGGTAGGACTAAAATAAATGAAGATGACATTCCGTACAGAAACAGTGAAGAGGAAAGGATGCCTGTTTATTTCCTTATGAAGAAAATAGTAGAGGGAAAAATTCTTACCGGTGCGACAATCCTAACGACTACAAGACCCAATGCCGTATCATGTATCAGAAGTCTTGACTTTGACAAAACGGTTGAAATTCTGGGATTCTCAACTGAGCAAGTAAAAGAGTATGTACAGAAGTTTACAAAGGAGGAGGACAAAGCGGAAACCATAAAGCAACACATCACCAGTAACTTAAACCTTGTAGCCTTCTGCTACGTTCCTGTGAATTGTTTCATCATTTGTTCGTGCTTGTTAGAGCTGCTTGGCAACACTACTGGCTTTACTAGCCTCCCGACAAGACTGACAGAAATATACTCAATTGCAATAAAGATGTTTTACTTAAGTTACGAGGAATATCGCTACCAGAAAGCCAAAGGTCAACAGTTTTTTCTGAAGTCGTTTAAGCAACTTCCTGTTCCTGTGCAAAGCAAATTCACTAGCCTTGGAAAAATTGCTTTTGATGGAATTACCAAAGGAAGACTTATTTTTGAATCAGTTGAAATTAGCAACCTAGAGAGTAATGGCCTGTTTCACCGTTTACCTGACACTAGAGACCATCCTTTAGCAGAGAGAAGAGAACAATATTGTTTTTTACACCTGACCATACAGGAGTTCTTGGCGGCGAAGTATTTGGTAGACACGTTAAGTTCCGAACAACTGCGGGATTTTGTTGCCGCTCACATCGAGGATGGCGCGTGGAAGGTTGTGATGCAGTTTGTGGCTGGACTGCTGGCTGAAAAAGATGAACAATCGACAGATATTTTCAGCGACCTTCTTCCCTTAAAAACGGATACTAAAGAAGTTGAAATCAAGTTGAGTGAAGACTCAGACGAACGAATTGAAACACTGACCCGTTGGCCAGCTGATGAAGACAAGGCTTTAGTGGTGACGCTATTCAATTGCATGTATGAGAACAATGCCTCTGATCGAGAAGTTCAAAAGAAACTGACGAAAATTGGTTGTAATGCGCTCGATTTTAATAATTGTAACCTGTCACCTCTTGACTGTTTAGCATTAGTTCATGCACTTAAATCTGTTAAAGGAATGTTGGATTTTCATTTAAGCTTCAACAGCCTTCAGTCGCTAGGATGTATTGAGATTGCGAAGTTGCTGCGTGGCAACGAACACAGTCAGGGTCTCTGCAAACTAAACAGCTTAAACCTCATGTGGAACCAGATAACTGATGAAGGTGTTGAACATTTATCTACAGCACTCACACACACTAACTGCAAACTAAAGAGATTATACCTCATGAATAACAACATAACTAATGACGGTGTGAAACATCTATCTACAGCACTCACACACACTAACTGCAAACTAAACAACTTATACCTCACGAATAACAACATAACTGATGAAGGTGTTGAACAATTATCTACAGCACTCACACACACTAACTGCAAACTAAACAGCTTACACCTCGGGGGTAACAACATAACTGATGAAAGTGTTAAACATTTATTTACAGCACTCACACACACTAACTGCAAACTAAACAGCTTATACCTCTTTAATAATAAAATAACCCAGCAAGGTAAAAAACTCTTAAACTCAAAAAACATAAACTGTGAAGTAGCTTTCTAAGCCATTAAACATGTGTAAATGTTTCCCTATTGAAGGAATTTTAGATTTTGATTTAAGCTTCAACAGCCTTCAGTCGCTAGGATGTATTGAGACTGCGAAGTTGTTACCTGGCAACCAACACAATCAGGGTTTTTGCGAACTAAAAACATTTTAATGTTTGAGTAGTTTAGCGGGATACAGTACTTAAATGTTTAAATCCTTCATTAGTGTCTTCATTAGTGCTATGGAGGTTTCAGCTTAGTATATGTGAGTGCTGCAGTGAAGTGTTTAACTCCTTCATCAGTCGTCTGTTATCTCTCGAGGATTTTGCATACCCCTAAACTACCCAAACCTCTTTAGTAGTAAAATAACCCAGGGCCCAGTTGTTCGAAGGCCGATTAGCGCTTAACCCGAGGTTAAATTTAACCCGGGTTTCTTTTTCTTGTGTTTAAAAGAATTTTCTCGGATAATTTTCTCTGTTATTTTTAAAGCCTTCAATAATCAACTTGTAGACAAAAAGAATTAAAACTGAACTGATTTTTAAGCTTTCATATCTGAATTCAAATCTCGCACTAACCCTGGGTTATCTTAACCCAGCTTTGAACAACTCGGCCCAGGAAGCTAAAAGTATCTTAAAACCAATGACAATAATCTGTTAAGTACACTTATCTAATCTATTTAAACATGTGTTGTTTTTTCCCTGAATAGCGCTGGTTTTAGTCTGGATTCAGTGGCGTTTTTGGAGCCTTAAAAAGAAGTTGTTTTTTTTTCTTTTTCTGCAAACCTTCAGAGTGATCAGGTAACTTCAAAGCAATCTCGCAGCCCTTCGATTTTCTGTTGTATTACTTTCATTATACTACTACATGGGAAATTTCTGCAATTTGATTGGCTTAGAGCATTGGTATTTCAGCTTAATTTGAAATACCTACATGTGAAAATTACAAAACTTTTGCAGGTAGTAGTATAAACAAATAATAGCATGATTTGTACGTGATATTTGGCATAAATACCACTCGTGAAATTTCAAAATTGTCTCAAATTTCACTCGCGTATCGGCTCGTGAAATCAAGTGTAACAATTTTGAAATATCACTCGTGGTATTTATGTCAAATATCACTACAAATCATGTTATTACCTATACTAATACTTTCAGTTTTAGGTGAAGCGAAATTGTTTTTGGACACTACTGTGTCTTTATAGTGTACTTGAACAGGTTGTGATACACTGTATTTATTCATTAGAGATAGTTGTGCATACAGTATAGCAACATGTGATATATTATAGCTTTACATAGCACAATTTGGGACTGATTAACATTCTGCGAAATAAAACTAACACTACGCGAAAATTGTTTTTTAGGACACGGTGGCTTTATATAGTATTGAGTAAACATAGCAACGTCATATTAACAATGTGTATTTAAACAAACTAAAACAGTTCATATGTAGATGACGCTTCACTATGAACTCTTAAAAGTATTCTATAGTGGCGACACTGTCACAAATTGGCAGATATATATGATCAATTTAGGTAGCCATTTATGCAGTACCCTGCGAGCGGTGGTTAAACCACTGCTCATAAGGTACGCAAACAGCTTCATATGATATATAAATTAAGAAATTTTCCTATAGGCGTGTTATTAGCTTAATGTGATCATGCTTTCATTGATTTACAGTAAGCGCTATTTTACAATTTTTTGTACATACAGTGGCTGATACATTTTCAGGTTTCCTGTTTATAGTACGTAGCCTTGGTTTTTAAAATGATGTTATTAAAGTTCCGTTAGACCAGTAACATGTCGGCCTGGCCTCATTCCTTAGTAAATCAAACTGTCCATCCTTCAGCAAAATGCTTATGGGACAGAAGAGGCAAAGGTGGATCTAGACCGACAGGGGGTGGGAGGGGCTAGAGGCCCATGCACCCCCTTTTTATCGTACGGATATTTCTCTTTCGGCTAGGATATAAACTGTGTGTCTAAAACGGATGGATCCAGGGGCCTGTTGCTTCCTGCCCAAAATGAAGTATCTCGGGGCCTTGGTTAAAAAAAAAGCACTTTATTTGAGTGTCAATGTATTTTAGCACAAGTACTAATTGTGGACACTATTTTTACGTCTCCTACTGGAGACGGGACCGCCATTTTACGTGGTCATCCGAGCCACGCGTGGGTCTAGCCATTTGCAGGGCAAAGGCAGTACCTTCATTTCTCAGTTATTTTAAGACCCTGAGTATTGGTCCGGTCCCGGGAATCGAACCCGCGACTTCCCGCTCTGCCGTCAAGCGCTCTACCGACTGAGATAATCCTACCGCGGTAACAATAATAAGAGAGGACCACACAGCCCATCCTCTCCCTACCCTTCCCTTTGATCCCCAATTGTTTCTAACAAATGTTGAGGTGAAAAACCTTTTTTCTCACCTAGTTACAAGATCTCCTACCCTGAGTTGTTTGAAACCGACTACCTTACCAGCTGTCAGAATCACTCAGAAAGCTGATCTCGCCAACTATAAACTGGCCATCACCCCTTTTGTATTTGGCGCCAGCTAACATAGGAAGTAACAATTAAGTTAGTAAAGTGGACCCAAATCGAAATCCAAGATCCTTCTATCATGCATACACAGGGTCATTAAACCCGCCCGCTGTAGTTGGCATCAGCTGTTGTAGTGTCCCTGTCAGCCCCCTTCTTTTGTTCTTCCTCTTTTTAAATTTTTTTTTTATGATGATTTTGTTTTTCTCTCCCACCATATTTTAATTTAGCTACCTTGAATAACAAAATAAATCGAAAGTGATGAGTATGGAAAATAAACCAAAAACAAACTGTATTTAACCCTTTAACCCCCAATATCCACATACAAATTCTCCAAACCTGTGTCTACACATTTCTGTAAAGAATAAGTTGAGAGAATTTGTTGAAAGATCAAAGCATTTCCCTCGGGTGATTATTTTATTAATTATCACAACCTTTTTTCTTGATTGTGTATTTATATTGTTAAGGGAGAAAATTGAGGTTTGTCACTTTGGGGACTTAGGGGGTTAAAGAGGTTGACACAAAATAGTTCCAAGAATTAGTGAACCTGTGGCCCTCTTAGATGTCCCCAACTAATTGGAAACACCTTCTACATCGAATTGGAATTTGAACATGTTGGTTATTAAGGAGAAGGGAAAACCGAAACAAGGGCGCATCCAGCGTGGTTTTGTTAAAGGTGGGGGGCGCAGTGATACCAGTCCACTTCAGAACGAAACTTTAAGTTGAAATTGTTTTTTCTTGTCCAAACGAGACGCAACGTTAAAATTGCAGCTGCCCCAAAGCGTTGCCCGTACCCGGGCTTATACAATTTGGTTAGTCTTTGAAAAATTTACGAGTGCTGATTTATCCCAAAATTGCACGAGAAGAATCATGTGATTACCTATACTAACATCACAGTACTCGGGATAATCCTTAAAAAAGAGGGAGGGGGGAGGGGTGAGGAAGACTGTTTTTTCTTTGTTACAACAGCATGTACCAGGAGCCCTGAAAGTTAACCAAACGTGGCAACCACAAATGATGTTTTTGTAATCGTTATTCATCATTGGAGAACTCGGTATGAAAATTACATTACAGTCGTCAGTTCACGTCTTGCGAAATCTAACTTTACTGATCTGTAAGTAAAAGGGATGGTATGCAGTGTTTTCACTGAAGGCTAACCTCGTGTCCCAGGGCTTTTCCTTAAGAACTGTAGGCATATGAAAAGGGTATCAGTTAATTCTATAGCAGCTATATGGCCCGGTATGTTTTGGAATAGTCATCAAAGGATATTAAGGGTTTGGCCGTTTGGGCTTAGTTCTGATGAGTAAGTCTCCCCACCCCAGGGTATCTAAAGCTTTGCAAGAACAGGCTCGGTTTGGGGAAACAAAAGCAGAAAGCAAACACAGGCAAAGTGCTTTTGACGCTAAATATCATCTATTCACTGTTTTACCTCTTCAGTGTTATGTTGAATTGTTAACAAAAGCATCTTGTGGTTGTTGCTTTGCAATTCATAACTTGGAATCATCTTGGTGTTAGAAACTCTGTCAGTGATATCACAGGCCACTTCAAATTTATAGGCACCATACACAAATGGATTCATTTCCTGTACTTAAGTTAATTCTTTCTTTTATTTATGACGTTCATAGAGATTACATGAAACGAAAACTAAAACCTATTCAACTAACCTAGAATTCCAGATCCAATTCCAAATTTTTCGGCTCACTTGACGTGTAAGTCACGAGACTCTTTTGAACCAATGAATGCAAAGATTATCTTCAGAGATGAGACGCATCGACGACATATTCCCAGATGCGGAAGTGTTATGAACGTCAGGGTGGAATTTACTGTGTTCACTGTTTTTATCGACGCTTTATTCGTTTCAGTGGTAAAGTTTCGACTTTTTGTAGTTTGGAACAAACCTAAAAACATCGGCTGAGTTTATTTTTCCAGCAAGCGTCCCATCATATAACTTTATCGTGTTCTCTGTACAGTTGATTTTCCGCATTGGATTGAAATGCATGCGTTGCTTGTCAAGGTAAGAACCGAATTAATGCATTTCTTTTTCATGTGAAATCTAAGCATACTGTGTCTTCTTATTGTGTGCAAGGATCATATCAGGTTCCCTGAGGCTAAACTTCAACATACTTCGACACTTACATGAACTTGCGTCGCATACTTGAACAACGTAAAAGTGCCTGATGTGTTGTGCCTCTTTGTTTAAAGCGCTTTGACAAGTAGTGGGGTATGAAGCTACGATCTAGTAGTCAAAGAAGGGAAGTTTTGTGACTCCTTGATTCGATTTGGTTTCTCGTGCAAGAGTTGACAAACGTCGGTAAGAGATGGGGTGGCCGGGAGGCGAGGGCATGATCTAAGGCGCACGAGTATATGAAGGACGTTCTATTCTCTATCGCTACGCTCAGCCGAATAGAAAATATTTCTGTTATAAGTATAAAGAGACAAAACAACAGACTGAGAAATGGAGGGAGTCGCCAGCAATCGAGTTAATTACACCAGTGATAG